CCTTCCACCTCAGTCTTCCAAGTAGCTGGAACTACAGGTGCACGCTACCACGCCTGGCTGATTTTTTATTTATTGTAGAGATGAGGTCTCGCCAAGTTCCCCAAGCGGGTCTCGAACCCGCGGGCTCAGGCAATCCACTCACCTCGGCCTCCCAAAGCGCTGAGATTACAGGCTGAGGCACTGAGCCCAGCTCATCCTTCTCTTAAAGAATCAAGTCTGGTGTCCCCTGAACCCATATTACTATTTGGTATGCTAGGCTGATTACATACTGAATCCTGTTGTACATTCCTGGGCTTTGGGAGGGAAGAAAGGAGACAGATCTGGGTTTGAATGTCTGTCTCTGCTACCTAGCTGTGCAATCCTAAGGTAAATAACTTAACCCGTCTGAGCTCTTATTTTCTCATCTGTACAGTGGAAATGATGCCTTCCTCATCAGGTCATTGTGAAAAGTACAGATACCACGTGTAAGTGCTCCACATGTTTTTAGCACATACATTCTCTTTTATTGGCTTCACTTCTTGCTCAGCCTTTGCTGTGGGTTGTCCTGTGTAGTGGCGTGCGCCTGTAGTTCCAGCTATTTGGGATGCTGAGGCGGAAGGATTGCCTGAGCCTAGCAGGTTGAGGCTGAGGTAGCTGTGAGCTTGCTGCTGCACTCCAGCCTGGGTGACACAGTGAGAATCCATCTCAAAAAAAAAGAAATAATTTGTCAATACCAAACAATTAACCCAAGGAAATAAACGAACGCTTATTTTATACAAGATACGTAAATTATCAGTGAAGTGAAACAGTAAAATAACACTTATCCTTAAAAGCTAAGACTTAAGCCTTCTTAGGTAGAGCTGAGATTCTCTACTTGATCTTTTCCCACAATCCTTCAACAGGACTTCATTGACTTAACTGGAGAAGCCAGACCAAGGGCAAAGGACTGCAGTGGACTCTGTGTGATTGACCTGACAAGTACTGAGGAAGAAAATAGACCAATCACCACTCTTGATTTGACTTTCGATCCTGTCGCTGCTTCCCAGAAGGAGCCAGCCAGTCCTCAGACCTATGCCAGCCTCTCTGGCAAAGAAGCAACAGAAGGACGGGTGGACAGAAACTCTCTGCCTGCCACACAGAGAATTATTAACCATGACCTTGTGGATTTGGACCTGTTGGAAGAAAACCTGTTTGAAGGTCCCCCACTGCCCGCATCCATCACTAGGGACTTTGTTTATCCAGTGGAGCCAAATTGTAGCTCAACCATGTTCCAAGGTGACCTCAGCTTCTTGGCGAGCTTGCAGCTGTCTTCAGATGTTAGCTCCTTCTCCCCAACAAACAATAATGGTAGCTGCAGCAATCAAAGGGCACCCTTGCCATGCCCACGGCAAGATGTACCTTGCCCGCCACAAGCTTTGCCATGCCCGTTGCGAGCCTTGCCAAGTCCACTAAGAGCCTCGCCATGTCCACCACGAGCCTCCTCATGTCCACCGCGAGCCTTGTCATGCCCATCACAAACCAAGCAGCACCAACTACAAGCTTTGCCTCCCCTAACTCAAGATGTGCCATGCTCTCAGAATGTGCCGTGCCCTCGGCAGAATATGCCACGCCCACCCCAAGACTCTCTGGGCCTACCTCAAGATGTACCCGGCCCACCTCAAAACATGCTATATCCACAAGATGTGACACACCTGAAAGATGTGCCACAGTTACCAGGCAATGTATCACTGTCACCAGGAGACATGCCACAGTCACCAGATGTGCCATACTTACGGGGGAATATGCCACACTTACTGGGAGATATGCCACCCTCACTGGGAGACACGCCTCACTTACCAGGAGACAGGCCTGACTCTCCCCAGAGTGATGTCCTGAGCGATGGCACCCCTATGGATATCTCCGCTCCATGCTCCCCGAGTCCACAGTCACTACCATCCGAAACTTCCTTGGAAAAAGTTCCTTGGCTCTCTGTCATGGAAATTCCAGCCAGAAAAGAGATATTACTGTCCAAACCTGCCAACCCTGGGCCTGTCCAGGTGCAAGCACAAACACCAGCAGGTGGGTCGTACAACAGACCATGCCTGCATAGACTGAAGTACTTCCTACGACCCCCGGTTCATCACCTCTTTTTCCATACTCTCATACCGGATAAAGACACAAGAGAGGTGAGCTCACATATCTTCCCTTGGAGAATAAGGTCAGTGTGACTGGATGCGTGAACAGATAGGTCAAGTATTAAGGTAGAAATATTCATCTTTTACCTACTCTCCCCTACCTTTAGTTTAGAGTTAGATCGGGGTTCAAAGATAAGCCACACACTTAAAAGCTGGCACTGTGTAAGTCACTTTACCTTTCTGAGCCTTAGCTTTCCTATCTGTAGGATGGAGATTAAAACATACCTCACAGGATCATTGGATGAGATGATACATGTAAAGTGCCAGAGTGTCTGGCTCATCATAGATAGGCCTTATTTAAATTCTTGTCTTCAACTGCTATGCCTTTCCCTTCCTAATGCCCTTATTACAGCTCCCGTATTACAGAGATAGTAATACTCTTTGTCACTTTAGTACCTCCAAATGTCTTACTCTCGGACTGGGGGAGGAAGTTCCATTTTAACACTTTAGTGGGGTCAGGTGGGCGTGGTGGCCCATGCCTGTAATCCCAGCACTTGGAGGGCCCAGGCGAGAGAATCACTTGAGCCCAAGAGTTCAAGACCAGCCTGGGCAACATTTATCTCTACAAAAAATAATAATTTAAAATAAAAAAAGACGTGAGTGGGAATGCTACTTTCCATTGGTCTTCATTGATGTATGCTGTTTAAACTAGATGTGTAAGGGGAAGAAAGTGTGGCTGAGTCCCACAGTATGAAACTATATATTTTTTTGTTATCTATACTTCGTCTTTAATATTAAGAAAATTGGCTTGAAGTAGTTAAAAAGTTCAAAGGTGTGGTCTCCTGTTCTAGAAATCTTGCTTTTTGTGTACTGGAGAAACCCATCCTAATTTTCTTTTTGTCTCTGCAGAACAAAGGTCAAAAATTGGAACCCATTCCTCATCGGAGACTAAGGATGGTAGCAAATACCATTGAAGAAAATTTTCCCCTGGGGACTCTGCAGTTTTTGATGGACTTTGTGTCACCCCAGCATTATCCACCCAGAGAAATCGTGGCTCACATCATCCAGAAAATCCTGCTTAGTGACTCCGAGACCGTGGATATCCTAAAGGAGGCCTACATGCTTCTCATGAAAATTCAACAGTATGAACCGTAGTTACAGCTGACTGTTGGCGAGTCTTCTAGGGATCCCAAACTCAGAGCACTTTCTCTTGCCTAAGCTTTATTCAGCTAACCATTAGGGAAGCTAACTTAGTATGTTAGTGTTACTTGGATTGCAAGTGACAGGAAACCCATTCTAACCAAACATTAGCACCTGGTAAAGGAGAATATAATGACTCATGTTACTGGAAACCTCGGAAGAAGATGTGACTTGATTCAGTGTTCAGAAGTGGTTATCGGGATTCATTTTCCAGCTGTGCTTTGGTTCTGTTTTCAGGCTCCACATGGTAGCCCTCTCAGCCTCAGGCTTTTATGATATTCCCAGCGGGGGAGAGGAGCTACTTCCCTTAGAGTCACACAAGAGTTCTAAAATTGAGTTTTATAGAATTTAATTGGCCTAATAGGAGACTTGAGCCAATCACTGTGAATTGAGGGGTAGAACATCATAATCGGCTCAACAAGTCACATGCTTCATCCTGAGGTTCTGGTAGGTAAAGCCAGCTAGCTAAGGGTAGCAAAGAGTTGGTTTCTAGCCAGGTGTGGGGGCTGACGCCTGTCATCCTAGCACTTTGGGAGGCTGAAGCGAGAGGATTGCCTGAGCTCAGGGGTTCGAGACCAGCCTGGGCCACTTGGCAAGACTTTGTCTTTACAATAAATAAAAAAATTAGCTGGACGTGGTGGCACACACCTGTGGTTCCAGCTATTTGGAAGGCTGAGGTGAAAGGATCGCCTGAACCCAGCAGATTGAGGCTGCAGTGGCTGTGAGCATGCCCCTGCACTCCAGCCTGGGTGACAGAGTGAGACTCTAACTCAAAAAAAAAAAAAGAGTTTCTTCGAGATAAAATTGAAGTTCCAATGCTTCCCAAAAGAAGAGTAGATTCTGGGTGGCAAAGACAGCGAAGGACCATTACCCTCATTTCTCCACGGTGTGATACCAGAGGGTGGGCAAGAACGTGGAGAGAAAGAGGAAGCTTCTCCCTTCTGCCATCTTCCAGGTTCCAGCCCTGCTTCCACTACATTCTCCAGAATTCTAATTGATGTCACTTGACTTTCAGGCTACATCCTGCCAATGCCAAGACGGTGGAGTGGGACTGGAAACTTCTCACCTATGTCATGGAGGAAGAGGTAACAATTATGAGGGCACATTCTTTGCAGAAGTTTTAGCTATAAAGAAGAGTGACAGCCGGGCTTGGTGGCTCAGCCTGTAATCCCGCACCTTTGGGAGGCTGAGGTGAGTGGATTGCCTGAGCCCGCGGGTTCAAGACCCGCCTGGGTAGCAAGATCTCATCTCTACAGTAAATCAAAAAATCAGCTGGGTGTGGTAGCGCATGCCTGTAATTCCGGCTACTTGGAAGGCTGAGGCGGAAGGATCGCCGGAGCCCAGCAGGTCGAGGCTGCGGTGGCCGGGAGCGGCCACTGCACTTCAGTCTGGGCAACAAAGTGAGACTCCAACTCAAAAAAAAAGAAAGAGTAACAACAAATCTGGTAATAAAGTCTATGTCATTATTCCCTTCTGATACTTCACCCCCACCAAAAAAAAATCCTATACAAATGGTACCTGCTGTCCTCCAATTCAAGATTGAGAACATTCACTTTACCTTTTCATTCCTGAGATCCCATGAAAAATAATAAATTAATAGAGACAGCTGTGAAAATAAGGGGAAACTGGGTGCTATGGCTCATGTCTGTAATCCCAGCACTTTGGGAGGTGGAGGCGAGAGGATTGCCTGAATCCAAGGGTTAGAGACCAGCCTGGGCAACTTGGCGAGACCTCATCTCTACAATAAATCAAAAAATTAGCCAGGTGTGGTGGTGCACACTTGTGGTTCCAGCTGCTTGGAAGGGTGAAGCAGAAGGATCACCTGAGCCCTTAGCACCTGAAGTGAAGGCTGTGGTGGCCGTGAGTGTGCTACTGCACTCCAGCCTGGGTGACAGTGAGACTCTGACTCAAAAAAAGAACAGAAATGAAAAGGGAAAGGACAGTAGATTTGAACGAAGATTTGGAAACCCCAAAGAAAGTTTGTGAGTAATGACTGATGAAACTGGGCAGCGAAAGCCGTGAGCTAGAAAGCATGTAGAAGAGGCTGTGCCAAGGAAGGGGACGTCGTTGCTTTGGAGCATCAGAGAGGTTGTGGACTCAGAAACACCAGGTATAATAGTGGGTGGGAGTCAGATATGGGCTGTAGATAGATATTTATTGAAAGTTTGTGGATGAAACAGTCAGCCTCTTCATTCTTTTTTTGTTGAGCTGGGGTCTCACTGTGTCACCCAGACTGGAGTGCATTGGCCGCTCCTGGCCACCACAGCCTCGACCCATGGGGCTCCGGCGATCCTTCCGCCTCAGCCTTCCAGTAGCTGGAACGACAGGCGCGCGCTACCACGCCCGGCTCATTTTTTGATTTATTGTAGAGATGAGGTCTCACCTGCCCAGGCGGGTCTCGAACCCGCGAGCTCAGGCAATCTACTCACCTCGGCCTCCCAAAGCGCTGGGATTACATGCTGAACCACCGAGCCCGGCTCCTCTTCATTCTTGAGCACAGAAAGTTTAGTAGCCAGGTTACCTATCCTTCAGGCAAAAGTCAGGACTCATTGTCACGTGAAATGAACAATCTGTAATAAACAAGACAGCTAATGCAGAGTTGGTATTCCAGGAAAAAGGTCTTCTACAGTCTGACCTTTAGGGATCTCCACACTTCATTGCCATCTTTTTGCTTGTTCACTCTACAGCAACTAGATAAAGCAAATTATTTTCAACTTAGAATTTTCTACTCAGCCAAGTTTTTAGTTGTGTAAGAGTAAAATAACCGGGCTCGGTGGCTCAACCTGTAATCCCGCGCTTTGGGAGGCTGAGGTGAGTGGATTGCCTGAGCCCGCGGGTTCGAGACCCACCTGGGCAACTTGGCGAGACCTCGTCTCTACAATAAATCAAAAAATCAGCCGGGCGTAGTAGCGCATGCCTGGAATTCCGGCTACTCGGAAAGCTGAGGCGGACAGATCACCAGAGCCCACCAGGTCAAGGCTGCAGTGGCCAGGAGCGGCCACTGTACTCCAGTCTGGGTGACAGAGTGAGACTCCAATTCAAAAAAAAAATAAAAGTATAATAGACATTTTTAGATATGCGGGAATTTGAACAAACAATCCCACATCCTATTTTTTAAAGGGACATTGCCTGAGGGATTGTATCAAAGGAATAAGGAGGTTGTAAAACAGAAGGAGATGTGGGATCCAGGGAAGAATCCAGGAGAGGATTGAAGAGAAGACCCAAGATTATAACAGCACACCTAGTGAGCAGTCAGTCCAAACTGGAGTGAAATAACAGAGGGCTTTAAGTAAGAACAATCTAGGAAACATAACAAGATGGTGCACTAGGAAGCTTCAGACCCTTGTTACCCTATGGAGACACTTATTTAACAATATATGGACCAGAATATCTTTGTGAAAACTCTAGAGACCAGGTAAGAGCTGGAGTGCCCAGGCAAACACATAACCCAGAGGGTACTCAACCAAAAGTGGTAGGAAAGCTGTGGTGTTTTGCATGCCCACGTCCCTCCCCCTACCCAGCATAGCGTGATGTAACCGAGAGGAAACCTCCCCTACTCCCTTGGGACAGGAACGAAAGACTGGGCCACACATCCAATGTGCTGGCTTATCTGGGGGCTGCCCACGGGACTGGTTTCTGTCTTGCCAACTTGGAGCACTAACAAACAGTGGAAACTGCTGGAAACAGGCAAACACTTTAACATGTTAGAATTGCAGAGAAGGCTGGACACGGTGACTCAAGCCTATAATCCCAGCACTTTGGGAGGCTGAGGCAAGAGGATTGCCTAAACCCAGGGGTTCGAGACCAGCCTGGACAACTTGGCGAGACCTTGTCTCTACAGTACATCAAAAAATTAACTGGGTGTGGTGGCACGCACCTGTAGTCCCAGCTACTTGGAAGGCTGAGGTGGAAAGATTGCCTGGGCCCAGCAGGTCAAGGCTATGGGGGCCGGGAGTGTGCCACTGCACCTCAGCCTGGGCAATGGAGAGAGACTTTGACTCAAAAAAAAAAAAAATACTGCAGAGAGTCTCAGGGGGAGCAGGAGATCAAGGGCAAGACACTTGGGAAATTAAGACAGTTCAAAGTACATCACAGCTGGGCACAGTGACTCACACCTATAATCCTAGCACTTTGGGAGAGGGAGGCGAGATGATTGCCTGAGCTCAGTGGTTTAAGACCAGCCTGGGCAATTTGTCGAAACCTCATCTCTACGATAAATTTAAAAAGTAGCCATATGTGGTGGTGCACACCTGTCATTCCAGCTACTTGGAAGGCTGAGGCAGAAGAATTGCCTGAACCCAGCAGGTCGAGGCTCTGGTGGCCATGAGCATGCCACTGCACTCCAGCCTTGGAGACAGAATGAGACTACGACTCAAAAAAAAAAAGTACATCACAAGGCAGGCGCTGTGGCTCTCACCTATAATCCCAGCTACTCAGGAGGCTGAGGTGGGAGGATTGCGTGAGCCCAGGAATTTGAGACCAACCTAGGCATCATAGTGAGACCCTGTCTCCAAAGTTAAAAAAAGATTGTTTCAAGAGTAAAATACATGCACAAATATAAAGCAGACACATCACCAGAAAAGATCTGGAGGTTGGGAATCTCTAGCCAAGTAGTGGATGAAGATCTTCTGCTGCAAGAACACATCCATAAAGACTGAGAAATGTGATTATTTTTCCAAGTGCCTAGACCTCAATACAAGATCTCAAGGGATACCAAAAAAAAAAAAAACATGGCCCAGTCAACAATTTAGAATAAAATTCTAGAAACCAACCCAAAAGGAGCAAAGAGAAAAACAAAAGCAAATAAAGTAAAGCTGCCAAAACAAAACTCAAAAGAGATCTTGCAGATCTCAGAACTGACCAAGAATTTAAAATAACTGTCTTAATGATCCTCAGAGAGCCGGGTTCAGTGGCTCAGTCTGTAATCCCGCGCCTTGGGAGGCTGAGGTGAGTGGATTGCCTGAGCCCGCGGGTGTGAGACCTGCCTGGGCAAATTGGTGAGCCCTCATCTCTACAATAAATCAAAAAATTTGCCGGGCGTGGTAGTGCATGCCTGTAGTTCCAGCTACTTGGAAAGCTGAGACAGAAGGATCTCTGGAGCCCGGCAGGTCGAGGCTGCGGTGGCCGGGAGTGGCCGCTGCGCTCCAGTCTGCAAGACAGAGTGAGACTCCAACTCAAAAAAAAAAAAAAAAAGGGCCGGGCCCAGTAGCTCAGCCTGTAATCTCAGCACTTTGGGAGGCTGAGGTGAGCAGATTGCCTGAGCCCGCGGGTTCGAGACCTGCCTGGGCAACTTGGCGAGACCTCATCTCTACAATAAATAAAAAATTAGCCGGGTATGGTAGCATGCGCCTGTAGCTACTTGGAAGGCTGAGGCGGAAGGATCGCCGGAGCCCAGCAGGTCGAGGCTGCGGTGGCCGGGAGCAGCCACTGCACTCCGGTCTGGGCGACAGAGTGAGACTCCAAGTCAAAAAAAAAAAGAAGAGAGCCTAAGGGACTTACAGGACACCATCAAGCAGACCAATTATCTTTTGGACGGCAGGCCCCTTGTAAGACAGGCTTCCCTCACTAGATAAGTGTTCTAGGAACCCATCAACATCAGTATGCCAGCTAGCATTGTTGTGAGAGGCTGCGTTCAGCTTCAGTGAATTTTTTTTTTTGAGATTTGGTATATTTGTCCATTTCATGATGGGTGATTTCCATGGACAACCTGCCCACACCACGCTGTGTTGCAGTTTTTGACCAGAAACAGCATAACCCCTATGCCCCACCCTTCCTGTTCACCCCTTTTCACTCTGAGCAACTTTTTTTGTTTGCCTGGATGCTCAAAGTCCTCCAAGGGAAACATTTTGCTGATGTGGAAGAGGTGAAACAAAAAACGACAAACACACCCAAAAGCATCAAAATGGATGAGTTCAAAACTGTTAAGAGCAATGAAAAAGAGCCTCGATAGGTATATTGCATCCACCAGATAGTACTTTGAAGGTGACTGAAGTTTACACATGTTAGAATAAATACACTATTTTGTGTAAATCAATTCCAGGGGTTTTTAAAGTTCCCCTCCCCTACAAGGAGGCTTCTATGAGATTATCAGTAGATTCCCAGCAGAACCTTGCAGGCCAGAAGGTAGTGTGATGATATATACAAAGTTCTAAAAGAATAGTCAGCCAAGAATACTATATCCCACAAAACTCCTACAAAAATAAGGGCTAAAATAAGACTTTTTCAGATAATCAAAAGCTGAGTGAGTTAATTACCATCAGAACTGCCTTTCAAGAAATGGCAAAGGGGCCGGGTATGGTGGTTCATGCCAGTAATTTCAGAAATTTGGGGAGACTAGAGGATCACTTGAGCTCAGGAGTTGAGACAAGCCTGGGCAACACAGTGAGACCTCATCACTATGGAACAAAACAGAACATTGGCTAGGGCGCTTACCTGTAGCCCTAGCTACACGGGAGGCTAAGGTAGAAGGATCCCCTAGCCGGGCTCGGTGTCTCAGCCTGTAATCCCTCGCTTGGGGAGGCTGAGGTGAGTGGATTGCCTGAGCCCACGGGTTTGAGACCCGTCTGGGCAACTTGGCGAGACCTCATCTCTACGATAAATCAAAAATTAGCTGGGCATGGTAGCGCGTGCCTGTAGTTCCAGCTACTTGGAAGGCTGAGGCAGAAGGATCCCCGGAGCCCAGCAGGTCGAGGCTGCGGTGGCCGGGAGCGGCCACTGCACTCCAGTCTGGGTGACAGAGTGAGACTCCAACTCAAAAAAAAAGAAAAAAGATCCCCTGAGCCAAGGAGGTTGAGGCTGAAGTGAGTCGTGACAGTACCACCGCCCTGCAGTCTGGGCAACAGAGTGAGACCCTGACTAAAAAAAAGGTGCATCAATTATTAAGGATTAGAGGAAAATATATGCACCTTTGGCAGGCAAAGATATGTTATTGTTACTGCCTCCCAAAAAAAGAAAGAAATGATATGTGCTTAGATTGGCCATTCCGTTTCCTGCTGACTGAATCGCATCCTGGTCCATGAGTTTATGTTCCCAGAAAATATGCCTGCCCCCTGGAGTTTGAGAGTCCCCACCTAGTCCAGAGACACTGGGGTGCCTTCCTGTTCTTTAAAGTTTGAAGCCTGAGCTCTGGAGCTCCCAGCATTTATCTCCTAGTAAATTGTGCGTTCCTGTCTGCTATGTGACAAGTACTTAAGCTATAAACTTAGAATGATTCCCATGTAAATCATAAAGACACTAGGACACAGAGGGGTTAAATAAGATAAGTTAAATAAAGGATGGAACTGGGTTTAAAACCTAAGGTCTGTGTGCCACCAAAGGCCACCCTGTTTACTTGTGTGTTAGGATCAGTTCGCCTGTTAGCAGAATGCCTGATTCAGATCCGCTTCCACAGTGTAGAAGGATGTGAATCCGCTCACGTTACTGGAAGTTCAGAGTTGGGTGGGCGTCATAGTCGTTGATCTAGCGGTTCAGCAGAGTTATTAAAGAACCAGTTTCTCTTTGTTCTGCTATCCACAGTTTCGGGTTTATCCTGAGGTTGTTAGTCTCCCTGAGAGGGAGAAACTGACTTCTCATAGCTGTTTCTTCAAATCAGATGGTCTGCAGTCCTAGAGACTCCAGCAGACCAATGATTACAGCCTGACTGTTAGGAGATTCTAATTATCTGCAGAGGCCTAGATCTTTTTTTTATTTTTATTTAAAAAAAATTTTTTTTTGAGTTGGCGTTTCATTCTGTCGCCCAGGCTGGAGGGCAGTGGCACACTCCCGGCCACCGCAGCCTCGACCTGCTGGGCCCCGGCGATCCTTCAGCCTCAGCCTTCCAAGTAGCTGGAACTACAGTCGTGTGCTACTATGCCCGGCTAATTTTTTGATTTATGGTAGAGATGAGGTCTCACCAAGTTGCCCAGGCGGGTCTCGAACCCGGGGGCTCAGGCAATCCACTCACCTCAGCCTCCCAAAGGCGTGGGATTACAGGCTGAGCCCTGAGCCTGGCTTTAGATCTTTTAAATAAGTAGCAATCCTTAGAAACAAATGGTTTCTGAGATCCTATAGGTTATGATTCTTTTTTTTTTTTTTGAGTTGGAGTCTCACTCTGTCACCCAGACTGAAGTGCAATGGCCACTCCCAGCCACCGCAGCCTTGACCTGCTGGGCTCCGGTGATCCTTCCGCCTCAGCCTTCCAAGTAGCTGGAACTACAGGCGCACGCTACCACGCCTGGCTAATTTTTTATTTTTATTGTAGAGATGAGGTCTCGCCAAGTTGCCCAGGCAGGTCTCAAACCCGCAGGCTCAGGCAATACACTCACCTCAGCCTCCCAAAGGCTCGAGATTACAGGCTGAGCCACCAGGCCCGGGTGGGTATTGATTCTTTTAACAGTTGCTCTGTTTGTTCTCTTTTGTAATGACCCAAATGACAAGGGGGACCCCCCCAAAATCCTGGAATTTCTTTATTAAAAGTTGTGTATTCTAACATGTTTAAACTTCAGTCACCTTCAAAATACTCTCCGTTTGATGCAATATACCTATCAAGATGCATTTTCCACGGCTCAAAAACAGTTAAAATTTGTATGCCTTTTAGTGCTTCTGCAGTTTTTTGTTTCACCTCTCCCACATCAGCAAAATGTTTCCCTCTGAGGACTTTGTTCATCTGGGGAAACAAAGTTGCTTGGAGAGAGATCAGGTGAATAGGAAGGGTGCGGTACAGGCATCATGCTGTTTTTAGTCAAAAACTGCTGAACACTCAGTGCGGGTGGCAGGTGTACTCGTAAATCTTCCATCATGAAATGGGCAAATGCACTGAAAGGGTCTCAAAAAAAAAAATCACGGAAGCCCAACGCAGCCTCTCACAACAATGCTAACTGGTACACTGATGCTGATGGGTTTCTAGAAGACTCACTTCGAGGGGCCTGCCCTCCAAAAGGGAATTCCTGGCTTTGGGGGGTTCCCTCTCATACTGGCTCTTTCCCTGGAGCCTCTCTTTTAAAGGCAGACACTTGTTGACTCCTGGCCTTTTCCGGGACTTAGTATTCATGAGGGCCCAATGTCACTGCCATCCAGGAAATTGAGAAGAAGGACTGACTTCTCATGCTTTTTCCTACAGGGACAGACTCTGCCCGGGCGAGTCCTTTTTCTGCGTTATGTAGTGCAGACCCTAGAAGATGACTTCCAGCAAGTCCTGAGAAGGCAGCGGCAGCACCTGCAGCAATCCATTGCAAACACGGTGCTGTCCTGTGACAAGCAACCCCACAATGTCAGGTAACCAGCCACCTGAGCGCTGGGATGACAGGAGGTAGGGGCATAGGAGAGCAGCTGGTGAAGGCCAGGGAATGTCAGCTGGACAAGATTTTTTTTTTTTGAGTCAGAGTCTCAGTCGCCCAGGGGGGAATGCAGTGGCACACTCCCGACCACCACAGCCTTGACCTGCTGGGCTCAGACAATCCTTCCACCTCAGCCTTCCAAGTAGCTGGAACCACAGCCCTGCTCCATCACGCCCAGCCAATTTTTTGATTTATTGCAGAGATGAGGTCTCGCCAAGTTGCCCAGGCTGGTCTCAAACCCCTGGACTCAGGAAAACCTCTCGCCTTCACCTCCCAAAGTGCTGGGATTACAGGCGTGAGCCACCACGTCCGTCTTTTTTTTTTTTTTTGGAGTCTCACTCCATTGCCCAGGCTGGAGTGCAGTGTCATGCTCACAGTCACCCCAGCTTTGACTTACTGGGCTCAGATGATTCTTCCGCCTCAGCCTTCCAAGTAGCCAGAACTACAGGTGTGCGCTACCATGCCCGGCTAAATCTCCCAAAGTGCTGGGATTACAGGCTTGAGCCACCATGCCCAGCCTGGTTTATTTTTTATTTTTATTTATTTATTTACTTTTTCGAGTCAGACTCTCTGTTGCCCAGGCTGGAGCGCAGTGGCACACTCACGGCTATCACAGCCTCGACCTGCTGGGTTCAGGCTATCCTTCCTCCTCAGCCTTCCAAGTAGCTGGAACTATAGATGCATAACACCATGCCCAGCTAATTTTTCTTGATTTATTGTAGAGACAAGGTTTCACAGGTTGCCCAGGCTGGTCTCAAATCCCGGGCTTGGGCAGTCCTCTTGCCTCTGCCTCCCAAAGTGCCAGGATTAGAGGCATGAGCCACTACACCCGGTCTGGACAAGATTTTCTAGTCACTAGATAGTGTAACAGGGATAATTATTTAAATTGTTAATAGGATGTGCACAGTGGCTCACACCTGTAATCCCCACACATTGAGAGGCCACGGTGGAAGTACTGCTTGAACCCAGGAGGTTGAGACCAGCCTGGGCAACATAATGAAATCTTCTCTCTATAAAAAACTAAAAAATGCCAGGTGCAGTGACTCACACCTATAATCCCAGCACTTTGGGAGGCCAAGGTGAGAGGATTGCCTGGGCAACTTGGCAGACCTCATCTCTGCAATAAATAAAAAATTAGCTGGGTGTGGTAGCACGCGCTTCAAGTTCCAGTTACTTGGAAGGCTGAGTCAGAAGGATTGCCTGAGCCCAGTAGATCGAGGCTATGGTGGCCATGAGCGTGCTACTGCACTCCAGCCTGGCCGACAGAGTGAGACAATAGTTACTCAATAGAAACCATACCTTCGGTGCCCATACCACCATCCTGGTTTGCAATTTCAGTATAGTACTCAATCAATTACATGAGATATTTAAAAATAAAATAAAATAAATTAGCAGGGCATGGTGGCACATATCTATAGCCCCAGCTACTCGGGAGGCTGAGGCAAAAGGATTGCCCGAGTCCAGGAGGTCGAGGTTACAGTGAACCATGATTATGCCATGATCGTGCCAACACACTCCAGGCTAGGTGACAGAGACCCCCACTCGAAAAAAAACTATAGCCAGGCTCGGTGGCTCAGCCTGTAATCCCGTGCCTTTGGGAGGCTGAGGTGAGTGGATTGCCTGAGCCTGCGGGTTCGAGACCCACCTGGGCAACTTGGTGAGACCTCATCTCTACAATAAAATCAAAATGAGCCGGGCATGGTAGCTCGCACCTGTAGTTCCAGCTACTTGGAAGGCTGAGGCAGAAGGATTGCTGGAGCCCAGCAGGTCGAGGCTGCGGTGGCCGGGAGTGGCCACTGCACTCCAGTCTGGGCGACAGAGTGAGACTCCAACTCAAAAAAAAAAAAAAAAACTATAGGTGATCATGACAGAAAGGCTTCTCTGTACCAACAATGTGGCAGGCACCATAGCTTGAGTGCTTATATCAAGAGAAAAAAATGTGATTTCTAGAGTAGGAACGTTAGACTGAAATGTTCCTCCTGGAACTGCAGACTGTCCTGACTTAGTGATGATTTGACATATGATTTTTCAACTTTACAGTGGTGCAAAAGCAATACTTAGTAGAAACCATACTTCAGGTGCCCATACCACCATTCTGGCTTGCGTTTTCAGTACAGTACTCAATCAATTACATGAGATATTCAGTACTTTATTATAAAATAGGTGTTGTGTCAAGATGATTTTGCCCAGCTATAGGCTGTCAGTGCTCTGAGCATGTCTAAGGTAGGTGAGGCTAGCTATGATGTTTGGTAGGCTAGGTGTATTAATTGCATTTTCGACTTACAGTATTTTCAGCTTACAGTGGAGTCTTATAGTCCATTTGTGCTGCTATAAAGGAATGTTTGAGGCTGAGTAGTTTATGAAGAAAATAGGTTTCTTTGGCTCACAGTACTGCAGGCTATATAAGAAACATGGCACCAGCATCCATTTCTGGTGACGGCCTCAGGAAGCTTTCATTCATGGCAGAAGGTGAAGGGGAGCTGGCATATCACCTGGCCAGGGAGGGAGGAAGAGAGAGGGGAGGAGTACCACCCTTTTGTAAACAAGCAGCTCTCATGAACTAGTAGGCTGAGAGCTCACCCACTGCCACTCAGCAAGCCATTCATGAAGGATCTGCCCCATGACTCAGATACCTTGCACTAGGCCTCACCTCCAACATTGGGGGTCAAATTTCAACATGAGATTTGGTGGAGGAAAGTATCCAAACTATATCAGATGGGTGTATTGGGGTGTGACCCTGTCATATGTTGGGGAACACCTGAACACCCCTTGCTTTTTGAAAATGTTTCTCACTAGAACAGTGTCTCTTCATTCAGAACAGCATTGAAACTCTTCCACTCATTCATGTTTCACGTTACATATTTGCTGAGAATCATATTCACAGATCAGTATTCAGTATTGACTTGTATCTTCTCTAACAAAAAAGAAGGAAGTTTCACTGGGCGTTAGTCAGTTCCTCCTTTATTTGCATGCCACATCCATTTTCCTATATGTAGCATTTTCTCTGAAGTTTAAATGTTGATTATTATAGGGGTAGCCAGGTGTGGTGGTTCTTTGGGAGGCCAAGGTAGAAGGATCACTTGAGCCCAGGAGTTCCGAGACCAGCCTGGCAGCATAGTGAGACCTAGTCTCTACAAAAAAAATTTAAAAATTAGCCAAGCGTGGTGGCATGTGCCTGTAGTCCCAACTACTCAGAAGGCTGAGGTGGAAGGATCACCAGAGCCTAGTAGATTAAGACTGTGCCACTGCACTCCTGCCTAAGTTTCAGAGTGAGACTCCAACTCAAAAAAAAAAAAAATTGACGGGTAGAAAATCAGTAAGTAAGCTGGGCTCGGTGGCTCAGCCTGTAATCCCGCGCCTTTGGGAGGCTGAGGTGAGTGGATTGCCTGAGCCCGTGGGTTCGAGACCCGCCTGGGCAGCGAGACCTCATCTCTACAATAAATCAGAAAATCAGCTGGACGTGGTGGCGCACACCTGTAGCTCCAGCTACTCGTGCTGAGGTGGAAGGATCGCCGGAGCCCTGCAGGCCGAGGCTGCGGTGGCCGGGAGTGGCCACTGCACTCCAGTCTGGGCGACAGAGTGAGACTCCAACTCAAAAAAAAAAAGTAGAGAATCAACAAAGAGCACAAGCCAGTATAGTTAAGTTTTAAAGTGAAAAATAAGTCAAATGATGAGAGTAATTCTCATTGTTTGTGCTCTATGAGCCTAGGCATTGGAGCAAGTGGGAGACGGGAGACATGGCCCACTGTGCTCTCTGTTGTCTTCATGTTAACCTCTTGTGCTGTGAGCCTCTCATTATACAGAATGAGATTCTTGAATTTACAGATAAGTATTTGGAGGCTGTTTGTGACCTCTAAGTGTAAGCCAGGTCCTCTGTTTTAAGCTTATTCAATGAAAAAAAGTTATTTTTTCCATTTTGAAAGAAAATGAGCTTGTCTTTGACTCATCAAGAGATGGATATTAGATTGAGGTGGTGATTACATAGATGAATGCATATATTTATCTAAGCTCATTCAAGAAAATCGTGGCAATTTTTATAGTATATAAATTATTCTTCAAAGAGGAGTTTTTTAAAAGAGAGAGAGAGATGGTAAGTAGGTCTCCAAATGATCCCCTCTTAAAGAATTTTCTTTTCTTTTGCTTTTAACTATGCATACAAAGAGCAGACTGGTTCTACAAGATTTACAATTTCCCTTTTTTTTTATTTTTAAGAACCCCAGATTTCCCTTTCTTTGCGATATTTACCTCCATATGGCAAAATAACATGCTTGCATTGCCACCTCTTGATTTTTTTATCGTTAGCCATCGACTTTCTACATGAAAGATGAAGTTAGCTCTTTTTCTTCCCTAGCTCCCCACTCATAGCCCCATACCATTAATATCTCATGATTTTTAAAAATCAGTATTCAGTGTTTGTATTACTGTAACTATATATGCTAGCTAGAATTTAACCAAGTGCTTTCATTCATACCCTTTTTTCATTCGTACCCTTTTTTTCTCTAGAGTTAATAATTGTCCTGTTTCCAGTTTTTTTGTTTTCTTTGTGCATATCAGAAGTCAACCCCTAGGCCGAACTCGGTGGCTCAAGCCTGTCATTCCAGCACTTTGGGAGGCCGAGGCGAGAGGATTGCCTGAGCTCGGGGGTTCAAGCCCAGGCCTGAGGAGCATGGCAAGACCTCGTCTCTACAATAAATCAAAGAATTAGCTGGACATGGTGGCACTTGCCTGTGGTTCCAGCTACTTGGAAGACTGAGGCGGAAGGATCGCCGGAGCCCCGCAGGTTGAGGCTGTGGTGGCCATGAGCGTGCCACTGCACTCCAGACTGGGCGACGGAGTGAGACGCTGACTCAAAAAAAAAGAAGTCAATCCCAATTCTCTGCTAGTTCCTCTCAGTCTCCCCTCAAGATGTTTATTGATACGGGTCGTCTTATCAGTTTCTTCTTATCTGAGGTGGAATGTTTTGGCCTCCTCCAGTCTGGATTCTTGTCCTTTTTGCACTCTTCATCATAAATCTGAGAGTTCCTTCTGTTGTTTTCCAATGTTGAATGACTTGTTTATTTATTTGTTTGCCCTGTGTCTTTCTCTTTCTTGGTTTACTTCCTTGTTTTAGGAATCAGTCTCCAATAGCTTTCTGAGAAAGGTATGTGGAAAGTAAAGTTTTGAAACTGAAAATGTCTTTATCTGAAAGTGTCTTTACCTTCCCATACATTGATAAGTAGGTTGAGTATGGATATTTAGTTTAGAAATAACTCTTCTATAGAACATTGAAAGAAATTTTCCATTGTCTTTTAGTTTCCAGAATTGCCTTAAGAAGTCATAAGCAGGCTGGGTGCAGTGGCTCACGCCTATAATCCCAGCACTTTGGGAGGCTGAGGTGAGAGGATTGCCTGAGCCCATGGGTTCAAGACCAGCTTGGGCAACTTGGCAAGACATCATCTCTACAATAAATCAAAAAGTTAGCCGGGCGTGGTGGCACTTGCCTGTAGTTCCAGCTGCTTGGAAGGCTGAGGCGGAAGCCTCAACTAAGCCCAGTAGGTTGAGGCTGTGGTGATCAGGAACATGCCACTGCCCTCCAGCCTGGGCGACAGAGTGAGACTGAAACTCAAGTAAATAAATAAAGTCATAAGCTCTTTTGATTATTGAGTCTTTGTGCCTGGTTTTGTCCTCTGGAAATTTGACAAGTTTTCTTTTTGCCCAGGGTGCTTGGAGGTCTATATTCATTCATTGTCTTGGGAACTCTGTGGACTATTGCAATCTGGAAAAATATCCTTCATTTCTGGTCAATGGTGCTTTTCATTTTTGTTATCATGTTTCTAATTTCAAAGAGCTATTTTATCTTTTCCTCTATGTGTTACTTATTAAAATTCATAAACAAGCCAGGCATAATGGCATGTGCCTGGAGTCCTAGCTACTCAGGAGGCTGAGATGGGAGGATAGTTTGAACTCAGGAGTTAGGAGTTAGAGGCTACAGCAAGCTATGATCATGCCACCACATTCAAACCTGGACCAAAAAAAAACAAGACCCCATTGCTTAAAAAAAAAATTAATAAATAGTATTCTATTGTTTTCATCTTTCCTGGATCCATATCATCTCATATCTCTGATGGTACTGATTGAAGATTTTCATTTTTATTTATTCTCCGAGTCTCTTCTGCATAATATCTACTTTATCCAAGTTGCTTTTGGGGGGCTATTTTGGTCTGTCTGTCATGTTAGATTTCATAGATGTAAACCTTGGTCATCTGTAGTCTATCCATGTTTTAAGGCGAGAGCCTCAAAAGGTCATGGAAGCTCTGAGGACATGGGAGGACTTGTCATTTCTGCGGTTCCCTGTAGGTGGAACTGATTTCTCATTTATAAGAAAATCCCTAGGCTCAGTATCTTTAGGTCTTTGCTCTTGGGCTGGTCGGGTTTTTCCAAGAGAAGACTTCCCGACTCCTCCATGAAGATAAAATCTCTTTGTCCATGAAGGATAAAGCCAGAATGCCAGGCTTTGGGAAGATGGCAAGGCTCTGTGCACTCAGCGTGCCTGTGTTCATGTAGTGGCCCTGTTTGCTCTAGTGCCTTTGTCAGCTTTGCCTGGTATCTGAGTCCGAGAGCCTCTCTTTTGCCTCTCCACAAAGTGAACCTGTAGTCTGCAGGATTTGGGAAGACTCAGGGGTCTTACAATTCTTAAACAGCTTTCAGGCCATTCTGGTTTTTTGTTTGTTTGTTTTTTGAGTTGGAGTCTCACTCTGTTGCCCGGACTGGAGTGCAGTGACACACTCACAGCCACCACAGCCTCGACCTACTGGGCTTAGGTGACGCTTCCACTACAACCTTCCAAGCAGCTGGGGCTACAGGCATGCGCCACCACGCCCGACTTATTTTTTTTGATTTATTGTAGAGCCGAGATCTCCCCAAGTTGCCCAGGCTGGTCACGAACCCCCAGGTTCAGGCAATCCTTTCGCCTTGGCCTCCCAAATTGCTGGGATTACGGGCCGAGCCACCACACCCAGCTCATTCTGTTTATTTTAACTTACCCTGTCTCACCCTCACTTTAGAGAAAACTAGTACTGCCACTTGCAGAACTTATTGAAGTTTTTTGTTGTTGTTTATTTTTTGTCTTGTTTTAGTAAATAACATTAAATAAGATTGTTCTCTGCTGCTGGCTTAGGATTCGGCTTTCTCAATTCTGCTAAGTCCATTAACATGTCTTTCTTTGCCAAAGTCATAGACTTGGATTAAACATCATCCTTAAAACATGGCATACTTGCTTTATTTGCCTAGGTAATTGGTTACCTTTAATTTGTAATCAGCATCTCTTAACTTAACCCCCAGATCAAAGGCTAGGAACTTGACAGCTAGCTACATCCAACCTCACATTCCTCCCCTCCCCCCCAACGTTTGCACCTCCCTGCCCCCAAGGTAATGATGAACCTGCCTGGTCATCATTTCATTTCTTTCCTTTCTGTGAAGTTACATTGCCTATACATGTGTTCCTATAATGTGTGTGTGTGTATATTTTTTTTTTTTTGAGTT